GTTTTCGACAATATCTACTCTTGAAATGTTTGCCCATTCCCTTAATAACACACATTGTTCTATTCTTTCCCAACCCAAATTTGATCTGTTGTCTGTAACCAACAATTTAGCACCCGAAAATGTTCTTTCAATTTCAACGGACGAAGAAGCAACTGAAAGTACATTTCTTACAATTGAATATAATGTTGGATATTTAATACTATTTTCTTTCCAATATTTATTTATATCATTTCTATGATCTAAACTTTCTTTTAAGTATTTTTGGATTTCTTTATACTTTGAAATATATGTATTTGTTTCTTTTTTTTCTTCAATAAGCATTTGAATTAAAGGTTCATCATAGTTGCTCTATACCCTCTCTTTGGCAAAGTGATAATCTAGAGTATTTATTGTATCATTTGAAAGATTGTTTTTTTCTCTATATTTTTTTGCTGCTAAACATTTACCATCTATTAAAAATAAGATATTAGTATAATTTTTTAATCAATAAATTAAATAATAATATGTATACTTTACCATTTGTAAAATGATATCTATTAATATTAAAATATATTTATTTTTTATAATTTTATATTTATTAATGTTATTATTTATTAATTTATTTTTATTTTTTTAAAATATAATAATTTTTTATATTTTTATATATATTAATAAATTTTGATATTGATATATAAATAAAAATTTTGAAGTATTTATAGAAAAAAAATTATATTAAATTTATTTATTTTTAATTTTAAATATTGCGCTTAATTATATAACTGCTATATTGTAATAAAATATATTTAAAAATCCTCTTAGCAATATTTATGTATATTAATAAAAAAAAAAAAAAAAATTTAAAAAAAAATTAAAAAAAAATTTAAAAAAAAAAAAAAAAGGGGGAAACAACCACACATTACTATATATATTAATTGATTATGATTTAACTGTTTTTTTATTGATTTTTAAACACCTTTTAAATTAAAAACTTTTTTTTTTGTTTTTAAAACTTAGAAAAATAAAAAAAAAACTAAAACTTAGAAATTGACTTTAAAAATGGAACTTATTGACCCCGAACTTAGAAACCCTTTTTTTCAAAAAATAAACTAAATTTTCTACCCTAAAAAAAGATAGTATATGATACAGATAGAGGCTACGAATTAATCCATGGTTTAATCAAACATGTCGATTGCTTTTACGACTATAGCTTCCATTTGATTAAAAAGAGAAGATCATAAAATTATAAGATTAAAAGAAATTAAATTGCCATCACACACTCGGGGTTGTCTAAATAGAGTCTAGATTGTTTTTCAATTTTAGCTTTTATACTTCAACTTTCGTGGTGGCGCATTTAATTCTTAAATTACTTAAAGGAACTTCTTATGTACATAAACTAAACGAAAAAAAATAAAAAAAAAAGTTATTATTTATTTATAAAATAAATTTTTTTTTTTTTTAATTTTATTATTTTTTTTATTTTAAATTTATCTCTAATATTTATTTTAAATTTTATTTTAATTCTTTTTTATTAGTCGATCATTTTTTACTTTACTCCTTATAATGTAAAAAAATTTAAACAAAATTATTAATGTACAATTTATTTTTATGTTTATCTTGTTATTTTTATCCTGTTTGTTAAAGAGTCTGGTATTGGTTGTGAATAAATTCTATTTAGTTTTAATTGGGTAACTGATTGTGGAATAGTATTTGGGTCTAGATTTTGATTAAAACCATAACCTAAGGCTAATGAAGTGAGGGATTCTGGTAATACACCCACTTGAAGAGGAGAGCAATTACCTGGAAAAGATAAATCTACTACAGAAAACTATCGGCATCGTCTTGTTGAGATAATACACCCAATGCATTGACTCCACCTATAAATGAAGCTAAATTAATTACCAATCTCTTACGATCATCTTGACATTGACCACCTTGGAGAACTTTTCGACTCCAGCTTTGAGAGCATTGATTTCTGATGTATTATTGACAGTTTTAGTGATGATTTTAGTGATAGCTCTGGTTTTGCCTTTACCATCGGTATCTCAATTACTATATGAGAAATAAAGCAATACCAATTAGTTGTAGATCATTTGTATTGTCTTCTTTACAATAAGATCTAGGCACTTGAAAGTTGAATTAAACTTTTCTGTTAAACCATATGTTTTAAATTTTGAGATTGCTATGTTTACATTATTAAAATTATTTATGTGTGTGTTTGTTGTGCATTGAAAAAAATTATTTGATTTTTAAAAAATAAATATTATTTTAAAAATTTAAAATGGACGTAACGTGTTGATATTGACTAAAATTGGGGTAATTGTTGAATAATCATAAAAAGATCATATAATACTATACCCCACTTGCACTATTTAATAATAGGAATGTTTTGTAATAATAGCAATCAACTATTGAACACCACCATAATATGCAGCAACAAAGAGAGCATTGGACAACACCAAAGACAGAATAAAATGTAAATGGTATAAATAAAGCATTAAATCAGTTAATATTCCCCTACTGTGAATTTTTACAATTTAATTTCAATCGATTTTAATTTCTATACTATATTCAATATAATAATAAACACAAAGTAGTAATAGTTATAAGTCACTCAGTTATAGAAAATATATTAAAAGTAATTATATCAAAATATAATGTTTAGAAAACAACAAAGTAATACGATCAAAAAATTAAATATATGAGTAGGTGTGTATATAGACACAAGTATAAATAAAGCACATTATAATAAATAATATTTTTTTTTAAATTTTTTTTATTTTTATTTTATAAATTAAAATTTTAAATTTAGTTATTCATAATAAAATAATGTTTATGGTGGTGAAAAATTTTTTTTAGAAAAAAAAAAAAATTAAAAATAAAAAAAATTAATTTTGAATTTTTTTTTTTTTTATTAAATTTATCATCATTTATTGGATGCACTATAATATACAATAATAGTAATAATAATAGATTATAAAGTATGCAATTACTATTTCAAAGATTTTTTATTATTCCTCAATGTTTGAAGGTCTTAGTGCACCCTACCCTGCTCATGTAAATGATCATATAGAAAGTATTCAATCAACTGGAATAATAGATTACTTTTTCAACAATCACCAAAGCAGCTCCATATTTCGAGAACATAAAAATCTGTTTTGTTTTTATAACTCATCTCAAAACATTATTTAAATATATATATTTGGAAGATATTGGGAAGCTTTTAGGTTTAAGAAGGAATCTTTAGGTTTTTAGCTGCTTTAAATTCAAATGTTTCTGGTATTTTAAAAGATACCATTGCAATTATCGAATTACTCAAACAATATAATGCTCTTAGTTTCTGGGACTGTGCATGTGCTGCACGAAATATACAAATCGATATGAATCCGTTAAATGACAGTAGTTTTAAAAAAAAATATTCCTTATAGACCAGATGCAATCAGTGCTCTGCGTAACATCAGATTCAAAAACTTATTTAGGTAATTTTGAAGAGCGTGAAGAAGCTGGTACACCCGAAATCATTGGCATTATATCCCATTTATTAGTTGCGGTTTAATATTTCAATTAAGAGAAAATATCAGAACAGATACAAGTAATTGAAGTTGGAAGTTTTTACTACTTTATACATTTGTCGTCGTATCTGGAGAATGGAAGCAAATTAACCAAAATGTTTGAACGTTATTGGTTAAGCAGAATCAACTATAGTCAATCTGGTAAATTATCATTCAATAGTAAAAGAAAACAATTACATTTAGGTCAATGTAATACCGATCAGGTTAAAAAGGAAACTCAGTAAATAAAAATAGTTAATAATAAATAATATATATTAATAAAATAAATTGTTTACATTTTTAAGAGTATTATTATTTTAATAATTTTTTAAAAAATATTATAATATAATTCTTTTTTTTTTAGAAATATAAAATAAATTTATCGAGAAATATAAAAAAAAAATATGTGTTAATAAATATAATAATGTTTTAAATATTTATATTTTTTCAGTTTTTTTTCGGTTTAAAAAATGTTTAATATCAATCGCCATTTTTTATTACAATCAAAAAAACTTTTGGGTTACAACCAAAATTTGGCTTTTTTTTTTTGAAAATTTTTTTTTAACCCAGGGGGTAAAAAAAAAAATATTGGTTTTTAAAAAAAATAAAAATTAATTATCACCTATTTTTTTAAATTTTATAAATATGTTATTTTTCTGTATTTTTAGGTTTGGGATTTGAAAAAAATACCGTTTCTCGGTAATTCTCTATCTCTGTTTCAATACCAGATTTTTTTTAAATTATTGCGATATTTTTTTTCTCAAAAAAAAAAGTGATTAAAACCAAAATTTTTTTTTTTTTTTTAATATTTAAAACCATCGTTTTTTCATTTGAAAAAAAAATCAATAAAATACATAGATAAATAAATAAAGCAATGAAATTAGAATTATCATTATTATTATTATTATTTTCAACAATAATAAATTACTGTGTTGGTGTTATTATTACACCATCATCACCAGGTGGTATTAACTCTGCTCAAGTAAATATTGCACCAATTGCATCAGTTTATGGTAATGTATATCTTAAAGGAGCTTCAAATGGTATCCAACCAATAGGTACTTGTGAAACTTTAAAAAATAATTTAAATTCAGAATACTATCCAATAATGATTTTAAATTCAACTGCTTGTAAGTATTCATTATTTTTAAAAATAAATATTAATATACTAATAACTATACTATAATTTTAGATTTTGCAAGACAATTAAATAGTAAAGCTTTAAATCTTGCAGTTGTTACAAGTAAAGGTGTATATCCACTTGAAATCCAACCAAATTTAATTAAATTAGGTGCTTTCAATAATATACAATCTGAAATCTCATATGATGATACTATTGGCCAAGCTGGTTCATTTATTTTTGCTGATAAAAATGGTAAAATTATTATTTATGATATTTTCAAAGATGTCGTGTAAGTTTGCAATTCAAATATAGTAAAAATAGTTCATCTATGAATAAACCTATTAACCTATTATTAATAATGTATCATTTTAAAATAATGTAGAAAATCTATTGGCTTTTTAAGTACAATCGAATTTAATACCCCACCATATTATGACTACAACGCTAAGCTTTATTATATTTCAACTTTTGATTCATCATCATCATCACAATCAATTCTTGTTGCCAACTTTCAAGACTATAGTACCAATTTTTATTCAATTGCTAAACTTAATTTACCACACTCTATCGATTCAATTTACACAAGTGGTTACAATAAACAAATAGTTTTATTCGGTTCAAATAATGAAGATCAAAAATCATACTTATATTTAATTAACCCAAAAAGTGGTACATATAAATTTTTAGGTTCTAAAGATTTTAATACTACAATGGTTACTGGTTTAAATCCACAATATCTTTTATTCGTAAATCAAGAGGGTACCTTAACCGAATTATTAAATTTACAAACACAAACATCACAAACATATGAAAATACTTGTTTTGATAATCATTATGCAAATACTTTCTTAACATCTATTATTCCAAAAGGTATTTTTACAAATTAAAGTTAAATAAATAAATTTAAATATAAATATAAATAATATATTTAAATTAAATAATAAAAAAAAAAAAAAAAAAAAATGAAAATAATTTTTTTTAAAATTATAAAAATATTTTTATTGGCATAAAAAAAGCTTTATAGTTTTATTAATAATATTAAACAAAATTAAAATTAAAATTTTAATTTTTTAATTAACCTATTTTATTGTATTTTTTATTTAATTAGTTTTTTAAACCATTAATGATTTAACAATCTTAGAGAGATTATTCGAAAAATTTTGTATAATACTAATGAAAATTAAATAAAAGATTAGTAAGATATTTATTCATGAATAAAATAAAATAAAGTAAAAAAAACTTACATTTCTAAGTTCTTCAGTAGTTATTACTTTGTCTGAATTTTTATCATAATTGCTGAAGATTTTATTGGTCTTATATACACAAATTTCTGTACCTCTGACATATTTTCTAAAGCCATTAAAAACTTCATCCCAAGTGATTTTACCATCCTAAAATAAAAATAAAAATTTAGTAAACTTAAAAAAAAATAGGAATTAAAATTTTAGAACCTACATTATTTCCATCATAGTCATCTAACATATATTTAATGCCATCTTTAATATTTTCTTCAACGATTTGAGCTTCCATTTTTAATTTATGGGTATCTACTTCTTGTAAAGAAATTTTTTTATCATCGTTTAAATCTAAAGATGAAAATATTGTTAATGCAACTAATTTCGGATCTTCAATTTCTTTAAAACTCTTTATATAAGTAACAAGCTCATCCAATGTAATTTCACCAGTTGCCTCTTTATCAAGATCCCACACTATTCCTTCCTATAATATTAAAAAAAATTTTAAATTAGTATATTTTATTATTGTTTTGATATCTTTATAAATGAATATTCTTACATAATGTGAAATAAAACTTTCTATATCTTTAACCATATTTTAACTTTCAAATCTTTTACAATATATTAAAAAATTTAAATTTATAAAAAAATTAATAATGTGTTTTATTTAAATAAAAAAAAATAAAAAAAAAAAGCTCAATTTTTATTTTTAGGAAAATTACTCCACAAATTACAAACAATTTTTTTATAATTAATATTATTAAACTCACCAAATTAGTAATAAACCCCCCTCACCAAATTAATTTTTTTTTTTAACAGCATCATAATGATTTTTTTATCTTCAAAAAAAAAAAATTATAATTAGCAGTTTGTTTTAAATTTTTTAAAAGTGTTAACACTTTTGAATTTTTTTTATTATATTATTATATTTTTAATTTGTAATTTGACCTTTTTTTAAAAAGAGGTATAAACTGATTTTTTATTTATCCTTTTTTTTATTTTAATGTATTTTTTTAAAAAATTTTTTTTTTGAAAAAAAAATAGATAATAAATTTTTCCAATATTGGAAAAAAAAAATAAAATCGTATTTAAAAAGTAATTTTGAAAAGAAGATTAAATTTTTTAAATTATTTTTTAATTTGTAGTTTGACCCCATTTTTAAACGTATTTTTTTTTATAAATGAAAATAAAAAAAAGGATAAAAATAAAATTAAAAAATAGGGTTTTTTTACCCACAAAAAACCTCATTTATTAATTTTTTACCCACAAAAACCTCATTATAACCCCTAATAAAATCTTTAAAAAAAACCTTTTATAAAAAAAGGGGCGAAAAGAAGAA